GTTCACTTTTTTATTGCAGATTCGGGGTCCTCTAGGGTAGCGTAGCAAAACCCTGCCTTCAAAAAAAAAAAAAAAAATTCCCTGCTGGGTTTTGGGGCCGCCTGGATTTCCGGGGCGGACCGCCCCGGCCCCGCCCGGCCCGGCGGTGGTCCAGCCTAGGGAAACAATGTATAATTCATTAATAACTTAACAAGTAATAAAGTAATAATAACTAAATTTGGCAACAGCAATAAAGTAATAATAACTAAAGTTGGCAACAGCCTTACTTATATAAACACTACTGCGCTAGTCTTTGCAAAACATTTATTTCTTCCTTTTCCCTCAGAACCTCAATTTTGCACCGTGGTAACAGGTCTGGCTGAAAGAGGTAGCTGGGAAAGGGACAGGTGGTTTAAGGAAAAAGAGACGAGGGTCTAGAAATGCTTTTGGCCTAAATTTATTTCCTGTTTTTTTTTTGTTAATCGTTGCAGCAGGTTTAGTCCCGGTTTTCCCCTTTTCGTTTCCATGTTCTTAGAGTTTTGCACTGTTCTTTCTGTAAGGTCTTGCACTACCTTCGTCCCCCGAACATAACGCATATGCATTGTAAACGAATACAACACATAGGGTGTGTTCTATTCAAATACAACGCATATGCGTTCTATTCGAATAGCCTGAAATTTCGAATACAATGCGTATGCGTTCTGTTCGATTTTTTTTTTCAAATTTTGAAACTCAAAAACAAAGCATGCGCGTTATGTTCGGGGGAAGAATGTAGTCATTGCTCTGTTGTATTTTAGGCAGAGACCTTTTCTCCTACTACCCTTTCTCATCAAGATAGCAGTTGTTCTCCTCCCTCTTCTCCTACTCCCCAGTGGATGGAACACATCATCAGGTGAGGAGTGGGGGGGCTTGAAGAGCCCGATCTGATCCAGTGATGCGAGCATAGAGTCCTGCTAGTGTACTCGCTCAAAAATTTGGAAAAGAACTAGAGTGCCAAAATGTCAGCGACAGCAACGGTTTGGTAGTATTAGGGCAACGGAGATTACTGGAAGGGCTCTGGAAAGAGGAAGAGAAACTTGGTGCTGAAGCAGCCCCAAAGGGCTGGTGCAGAAAAGCATATTGGTAACCAGAGGTTCAGGTTTCGAGCCCTCGCAAGCTACAGGTGTAACCCTAAAGGGCCTAAAAAGGCCCTAAAACATAAATCCTAAATAGGTTCATTCAGAGTCATTGTCTCGTGTATGTAGATCGTATGGGTAGGCTTCAGGGTTTTCCCACGCAAACTGAATGTCTAGGAAGCCATCGGGCGGGGGGGGGGCGAGACTGAGCACCGAAACCTGCTTCAGTAGTCAATCGGTTTGAGCTTTGAAGGCTGCCGACCACACAAAGTCTACATGACCTTGTGTCTCTCAATATCAAGCTCATTCAGAGCGTACTCACCCTAGGAATTTTCCGGATGTATCTGACTGCAGTTGCAGCTGGCCCTGGCTCTATCTGGATGCAATCATGTCCAGAGCCTAGTCGGAGTATGCCCTCAGTCATCCGTAAGAGCCTTTTCTTTGTCGTCCCCAACCCCCTGGGCATATCCCAATGATGACTTTCTATCTAACTTTATGCTAAAAGGAATGCTACTTGCGGTTGCTGAGAGCATGATGTGACCACGCAGCCGGCTCCCTTTCTGTGCAGCATTCTTTCCTATTCCGTGCTATAGTGACAAATTGACAACAGGAGTCCCACCCTTCACCTCACAATCCACACCATTCCTGTCTCTTTGCCCTGAACCCTTGGTGCTGCACCTTCTTTTTTTTTTTTTTTTTTTAATTTAATTATAAAAACAGGTCCTTATTTGGTGATGTTGCTCCACTTATCCTGATTGTCTAGGATCCCTGCCAAACAGTTCACGTTCCATGATGTTATTTTTAATTCCGGTGTTTGCTAGCTTGCTTTATTTACCCTCATTCTCGTCCCTTGCCTCCCTTCCCCTCGGTGTTCCACGGGGATTCCATGATGTTATTTTTAACTCCGGTGTTCGCTCGCTTGCTTTCTCTACCCTCATTCTCTTCCCTTGCTTCCCTTCCCCTCTGTGCTCCACAGGGATGAGACAGGGTTACCTAGAGCTTCTCCCTTGATTCGGAAATTCAAGATCCCAGCGATGCCAGGTCTGTCCCTGTGGAGTCTGGCGCAATCTTCTTTTCCAAGAACTCCGGCTTCCATGCAAAAGCGTCCATTTTTACTGCTATTGCTGTGCTTCTAGCCACCCACTCGGTCGCCACCTCCCCCCCTAGTAAACCGTACGGTATTGTTTCCACCACCTGCCACGACATCCAGTTAAGGTCCCCCTTCAGGACTGCTGTGTCCTGTAGGTGCAGCAAGATCGGTCTGAAAAGACTCTGAAGTCTGGTGCCGTGTCCTCCCCTCCGGTATCCATCCCTTCCGCTGCAGCTTCCTTTCGGCCTCCCAGAACAAAGGCTTGAGTTGGGATCTCCTCCGCGATTGAGTTCAGAAGGTCTTTCCCTGAGCAGGCGTTCACTTCAGCTGTAATAAGCTGGAGCAATGGTGGATTGCAACATCCCAGTCTGAATGCTCCTCGTTCCACCTACATGGGAGTATCACCCTTTGCTTCGCTCCGTTCTTCGCATCCAACCTCGCTGCTGCTTCTATCTCCTTTTGATGACCCTGCGCTATATTCTGCAGGTTAATCGTTGCTTCCTCAATTTCCCGGTTCTGGTCCTTCAGCGCGTTGACTTGGGCCTCCAGAATCACTGCCTGCCTCTGCATGTCCTCCTTGGATCCTTCCTCTGCTGCCTCTGTCCGTTCTTCGGTTTCCGAGCTCTGTGCTTCTTCCGCCTTGCTTTCCTGTTATTCAGCTGTCTGTGTCTTGCGCTTTCGGTTGCTGTGTTTGATGTCCCGGTGATGGTAGGTGTTTGGCCACTGGAAACATTTGTTGTATTCTTCCTCCTGAATGCGTATTTTGTTCTTGGTGGGCCGGGTCTTGCGTGAGTATTGTTCTGCGTAGCACTCGTTTATTTCTTGCTCCCGCTTTAGCAGATTGTAACGATTTCCTGATGTGATGTCTTCTGCTGCTTGTGTGGCGTGCTGCAGGTTTCGTAGGTGTTTGTGGTGAGCCAACCTCCCCTCACATTCAACTTTACGCCCCGATTCCAGCTGCTGCATGAATTCTACCCACCGCTCCAATGTGTCGTTTTCCCCATCGTATTCATCCTCCCAATCTTCTTCTTCAGATGATTCCTCTGAATCTG